ACCACTAGAGGGGGATATTTTGTTTCTTTTTTTTCTTAGGTCAGGAAAGGTTCAGGGAAGGCAGGGAAAAGACAGTCCAGGCAGTACAGTACCAGGCAGTCCGACGACTGTCTCCCAATCCACTCTCTAAACGCTGGGAGGAGTGAGGAAGCAGACAGGCACCCTTTTCACTGGCCAACAGTTAACTGAAAGTTCAAATTTTGCACTTTCCCTGCCTCCCACGTGGTTTTTTCCAGTTCTTAACTCAAATCTGAGTATGTAAGTCAAGTCAATATTTTCCTATGAGAGTGGTTCTTAAGTCAAAATGTTCTTAACTCAAGCCGTTCTTAAGTCAAGACCCCACTGTACCACCCCCCATGGCCTCTCTTTGGTCTGCACTCACTGGCCACGGCTCCCCATGTTTTCCCCACAACCCCAGCTGGACCCTGGGCCCTTCTGCACACCGAGCTGATGCCCTAGCTCTGAAAAAAGTCATCCCCTTCTCTTCCTTGGCAGGCGCTCAGACACTGTGGACAGCCACCTGCTGGATCTTTGCATCATGGTCTTCCGAGCCACCTTCATCAATGGCAGCAAACTGAGCCTGGGGCGCCTGATGGCCCACAGCAAGCGAGCGGTGAAGAAGTTTGTAAACTGTGATGTGATGCTGGAGCCGGGCGAGTACGCTGTGGTGTGCTGTGCCTTCAACCACTGGACCTCCTTGGTGACAGGCACCACCTCCTCCTCTTCCACCGGCCAAGGTAACAGCAATTCAGGGGGAGATGCTGCTATTGTTTGCTTACAGCTTGTATTTTAAAAGAGGGGGAAAAAGTTAAAAAGATGACAGAAAGCTATCTTCTGTGTTGTCGGAATACACTTTAAGCTTGGCCTTAATTTTCAATTAAGCTTGTTCTCATTAGATAAAAAGGCCTTCCAAATTGTCAACTAGATAATAAACTGAATTCATTTATTGAAGCTTCTAGTTTGAACGTTTTTCATGCCCCCCCTTTTTTTTGCCTAAAGGGAGCTGGGAGCTTGTCTCAACGGCCTTTGAGTACTTTTCAAAACTTGGTCCTTGCATAGTTCTTCTGAATGTTGCTCTTCCTGCACAGAATCTTGGGCCTGTATTGCAATAAGTGAGAACCCGTTTGTGTGCTGGGTTGTGGGGTTTTTGAGTGTGTGTGTGAGAGAAGGAGAGACTAGGTGGCAGGATGAGTAAGGTGGGACGGAGCAGGGACTTCTTGCCAGCAGAGCCTTGTGGTCTGACATTGCCTTCCTTGCCTATTTCATCTCTCCCAGTCTCCAGTCCTACCACTGGCAGTGAGAGCCAGGCTGCCGACATCTCCAGCTACATCTTAGCCATCTACAGTTCCCGTCTGGTGATGGTAGAACAAATTGAGGCCCAGTCAACCACGCTAGCTGATGCCATCATTCTGCTCACAGAGAATAAGGGTGAGCGGCATGAGGTGAGTGCGAGCAAACACGGAGTTCGAAAACATCCGCGTAAGCCTGGACAGAGAGCAATCAGGAGTTTGCACACGCTAAAATGGGCTGAGTGAGTCCAAGCTCAGCTAGCCATGCTACAACACTCCATCTTACAAGTCTGCCCACATAAGAACACCCTTGTACCCTCAGATATTACTGTGAAAAGATCAAGTGGGCTTTGTAGTCCTTAGACTTAACTTGCACCACTGACAGGACTCCTAAAGTATGCTAGGCCGAGGCAGCACTCTCAGATGACCCTAAGACAAGTCTACTGTTCAGAAAACCAATTGAGTTTTATAATCTTTAATTTATTAACTAGGTATCAAAACCAAACTAAGCCAAGGCAAGTAAATAAGCATTGTGTTAGTTATTTACAACTCTGTAGTGAGGCAAAGAAAACATGAAAAATAGAAAAGTGTTCAAAAACCTTACAAAACACAAAAAAACATTAAAAAGAACAAAAACAGTTCCAGTCTAGTAATTCATTAGTAAAACAAAATAATCCAAGTAGGTTATAAAAAGGCTATAGTCCTCAGTGATCCTGTAGAACAAGAATCCTGTACTAAAAAGAAAAGTTCAGTAAAAGTCCCATTGTCCTTAGAAAAGTCCAAGAGTATAGTCCATATGAAGTATTTCAAGAAAAGAAGTCCATAAAGGATATTCCATAGGTAACAGTCCATAGGAAATAGTCCATGCATAGTCCTTAGGAAAAAGCCCATAAGTCCAAGGGTAATCCAGTATAGTAAAGGTTAGTCCCATGTGTCACAAATGAATGAAGAGTCGGTCTTGAAAGACAATGTCCATAGGCAAAAAGTTCCTTTTTCAAGAGTAACTGGCAAGGGCTTATCGCACCTTCCCACGATGTCATCCAATCAGAGTTCGTTACTAGGCAAACAGTCCTGTTGCACCACATGACTTCTTTCCCATACACACCAGATGTTATTTGGGTTTACTGTGGTTTCGCAAAAAGTCACAACAATTCCCATCTAATCACACCGAGTCCTTTTCTCAGGCTATCAGAATAACATTCTCTCCGCTCGCCTAGAGAACAACCCGTCAGCATAGCATTGAGTTACCCTGTGATTGCCAAGTTTGCTCAGGAGCATTTAGGAAGGGGCTTTATTTAAGACATTATTGAAAACCCAGGCAATCCCTGTCTTACCAGAACACCTCGATTCTTGTGTGTACAAACTGTAAAAAGTTGGTGGGACAGGACTTATTCATTGCGGGCAAGGCTTTGCCTTCTCCAAACATCTTTCCTTCTTCCTCCTGTGATGTCTAGAAGGGCCTTCTTTTTTTTACCTCTGTTGCTACAAGGGCCAAGGTGACAGTGGACACAGTTCTCTCAGAGTTTGGTGATGTTCCTTTCTTGGAGTAGAGCTCCAGAATCTTGCAACCAGTAGAACCACTGGCCATGCTAGTTGGGGAATACTGGGAGCTATGCTTCCCCAAAATAATTTTTTACAAGCTGTGAGTTCACAGAGGCCTAACTAACTCAGAAAGAAGACTGATGGCCTGGTTTATTCCTGCAGGGGCGTGAAGGAATGACGTGTTACTACCTGACCCATGGCTGGGCGGGTCTCATTGTAGTGGTGGAGAATCGGCATCCTAAATCTTACCTGCATGTCCAGTGTGATTGTACAGACAGCTTCAACGTGGTGTCGACGCGGGGCAGCTTGAAAACACAGGACAGCGTGCCACCACTGCACAGGTGAGGGGTAGGGACTGGCCTCGCCGTGCAGGACAACAGGGGCAGCGTGGTTTAATTTCCCAGTATGTGCTTGAGCTGTGGAAAATGCTATGCATCGTGGGAATGGACAAATCCAAGGCTCTGGCTCTGGTTTTGCCAGCCGTCCAGTAATATGCAGGGTGAAGGGCCCCTTTCCTCTCTTGGCACGTTGAAAGTCCTTCTTCCCTCTCCCACCCCCACCCCAAAAAAAAAGGATAAGGGAAAGGAGATGGAGACGTCGTAATGATAACATATGCAGGTGAGCGTATGGCTTACTTAACTTTGTGTTTAACTTTCCTTACAGAGTTCTTTTTTAAAAAAGGGGGCTGCTTACCCATCTTCTTCCAAGTGCCGGCATAACCATTCTGTGGTGTAGCCAGTCAATGGGTTTGTGCCTCTCTGTTCTCTTCCTTGTGAGGAGACTGCCTAGAGCCGGCTGGTCAATCGCCCCTTGATAAATGCTTGTGCTTTTATCCAGAATCAGTCGCTTTTGAGGGCACAGAATATTGGTGTGGTAACTGTGTGGACAGTTTCTAAACTGGAATACTAGGAAGTATCATGAAGGTGAAGGATTCCACAGCCAGCGCTGTTGTTCAGAGGAGACTCAGGAGCCTGGTTTGCCCAAAATGAACCTGTTCAAGTATAACGTTCCCACTCTGTTAATCACAGTGAAGAAACCAGGAATCTCAACTCTCTCCTGGACTGGAATCATGGTCGTTTGGACATGAGACTCATAGAGTTGGAACGGACCACAGAAGTCCTCTAATCCAACCTACGCAGATATGGGGAACCTGCTACTACACCATCCCTTCTGGACGGTCACTCTTCAGAAGGCTGTGGAAAAAGCAGGGCACTGTCTGTGGATACAAGGGGCTATTTGGTCATCCAGCTGCCAGCAGTGGCAGTTGTCCAGTTGGAACTAGGCAGCTCCCCCTTGTCTTCCTCCTCTTCCTGTCGTCGTTGTTTTGATTGATTGCCCTCCTTTTCCTCAGAAGGGCTCAGGGTAGCTAAGAGTCCATGTGCATATCTCCCTTCAGCAACACTGGTGTTAGGGGCACCAGACACCCCCCTCCATGTCATTCAACATCCATCTATAACTCTTATGCCCACCCCAGAACCTTAACTACACAGCATGCACAGTCCTCTCTCACACACCTATTGCACACACTCACATCTCCCCTGATCCGCATCAGCCTCCCGGCCTGCCCCGCCACTGTCCCCCGTGACCCCATGGAGCTATCATACCAGGAGAGGGGGGCCGGCAGGGCCACCATCCTTGGGCTGGGCGCCGCCACGCCACTCACAGCAGGAGCCCCAAACCCACCTTTCTCGGGCCACTTCCTGGTGAGGAATCCTAGCAATTCCGTGTGTATCCAAAACCGTGTTGCTTAGAACCCTGCCATTTAGGGGAAGTGGGTGTATATACACACTGTTTAAATCCTTAATTAGCAGAGGAATTTAAAAGCACAGAGAAGCAGCAGCAAAATCAAAACCAGAAACTTGTTCCTTCTCCAAAGCCTTGTACAAACAAAAATGTTTTAAATTGGCCACTGGAAGACAAGACTCTGGGGGACAGCTGGGCCTCTTAACCAAGGGACATGGATTTTACAGCTGGGGGGCCACCACCAAGAAAGCCCTGCGGTGCTTTTCCTCTTGGGTCTTTCTCTCTTTTGTGCTCTCTTTCTAACACCTTGATTTTAACCCTTCCTTCTCCAGGCAGGTCCTGGTCATTTTGTCTCAGTTGGAAGGCAACGCCGGATTCTCCATCACGCACCGCCTGGCGCACCGCAAAGCCACGCAAGCCTTTCTAAACGACTGGATGCCGACCAAGGGGACCCATAACCCACAGCTGACCCCGGACGTGGCAGGGCTTCATGGACCCCGGCCACTATGACGACGGGCCTCACCTGTGCTGCCGCTCTTCTGCTTCTGCCTTCTTTCTGGCCCCATCGATCTATCTCGGGCACTGCCCAAGCCCTTGTTACTGAGCCGTCAGGATTGAAGAGGAGGGATGGACTGTCTGAAATCAAGCGCCTTTCCTCCTGTCCCCTGGGGTCAAGCAGGGAGCTGCTCAGGTTCCCCCCTCCCTTGCAGTCCTCTCTCACATATTCCTCTCCCCCTCCACAGATGATGCACTTTATCCAGAGCTGCTGTCAGGATAACAAGGGAATTCCATAGCCTGGAGAGGGACACAGCCACCAAAAATCCTAAGGCTCCAATATACCTCTGGCCAACGTGTCTGTGTGTGTCTCTGCCTCACCATATCCTTTGTTGTGTTGGCTGGGTGCTGCAGTCGGTGCCCTTGAGGGATCGGTAAACACCCACCCACCCCGCTTTCCTCCAATATCACCATTGGCAGATGGAGGGGTGCTGACTTCCTCTTTCTCCTGGCACTTGGGGCTGACTGGGTAGTGGGAGTGGGGAGTGGGGGAAGTCGACTGAATGGAGTGGTTTGGAGTGAACTACTCGTGTGAAGCGACCAGGAGTTCTTGTCGGGCAGGGAAGCCGGCCAAGACTCTGTGCACAAGCTAGTTTGCAACACGGACGGATAGTGGGAGCCCCAACTGGGAAAATTGTTATGTGGGTTGGTCCTTTATTGATGTCATTTTGTACTCTTTGGCAAGGCAGATCTGAGCAGGAGCGGTGGGATCTGCTGTTGTATATGTATGTGTAGCATTAGAAGACAAGAGCCTTGACTTGCCTTCTATGCTTGGGTTCTTGTTGGGGCGCGGGGGCCCCCCTAGGAAACAGTTGCCTCAGCTTACTTGGAGCGGGAGGGGAAATCGGTGTAGCAGCAGAAATCAGAAGAGCACTCCCCCCCCCCAGCCTTCTTCTTGAAGGCATTCTCTCTGTCCCTCCAAGGCTTTAAATTGATCACTGTCATGTCTTTACTTCGTACAGGGAGCTGTTAGTCTGTATATTGTTAAGGACATTCAGTAAGAAGAGATGTGCAGGGAAGAATGCAGGTCTGCAAGGATGAGATTGGCAGTATGGGAGGAGGAGGAGGAGGAGGAGGCATGGCGGCTGCCTGGATCTTTTGGAAGGGCCAGGGCGTTTGGTCCCAGCCGTGCCTCCTGCAGCCCTCTCACCCTGGAGATGCTGCCACCCTTCCCCTTGCTCTTCCTGGACGTCCACGGCCTGGAAGCAAAATAGTCGGGTCAAGCAAGAGTGAAGCTGCAGGAGGAAGGCGTGCCTGCTCCCAGCTGACCTCCCGTTGTGCCTTCCGTTTCCCCAGCAGAATGTCGTCTGGAAAGCCACTCGCTGGGCAAACCTGCAGGCTTTCAATGGTCAGGGCATTTTGGTTCTCCACCAAACTGCTCTGCGCTGTGATGCTCAGCCTCCGGAAAGGTCTTGTGGGCATCCGAGCTTGGAAAAGGTCTTTTTAAAAAAACAACAACAATGGAACTCCCAGTATTCCTCAGGGAGGACAAACGTGCTGTCAGGGGGATTCTGGGAATTGTAGTTAAAGGTTGTTGTTTTTTCCCCCAAAGCTGTGGTTGAAAACTACCTGTATATCTTCTGCCAGGAAAAGAGCTTCAATCCTGGGAAGGGTGTGTGTATGTGCTGGGGGGGGGTTAGAGTTACAGGGAGCCCTAGAGGCTCACCTGGACTCTCTGTAGGAAGCGGGGGTATTTTCTTTCACTGTCACCCTCAGAAGACCCACAGAAAGGACTCTGATTGTGTGAGCTAGCATTAAAAAGGGATTAGCCAAACTTTTGGGAAGACACAGCTCTTGTCCTCCCCACCGCACAGCCCAGATATAGGGCTGCTGAAGGTAGCGTCTCTGGAGCGAGGACTCCATTAACAGGGTATCAAGGACAGGGTTTTCAGTCCACATGGTGGGCTCAGGCACAGGGGATCAGGGATGGTGTCTTCCTCTGTTCTTCTTGGGTCAGAGGAAGGTATCTTGGAAAACCTGAGGAGTCTTTCCATAGTCCCTCCTCCCTTCCTTTCCTTCGTTGTGTTGCTCCAAAGGGGCTGTCAGAGTCTGGCATTAAGAAAAAAAAGGGGGCAAGCAGGCCGTCCAGAGGATCACTTGCTTGAACTCCCATCCATTCCAGGTTGACCTGCTCATGTTGTGTGCCTGGGGGCAAGTGGAGGACTGGACCAGTACATACCAGTACATCCAGTGCCTCCACAGAGGAGTGGACCACTACATATAGTGATGTGGAGCATCTTGAGGTGGGGCTTTGTAGGGACTGTACTATTAATTGGACCTTCCAATTGGCCTTGTTGGCAGGAGGAAGATTCTGGGAGTTATAGTCCAAAACTGTAATTTCCAAGTGGTATCCTATACTCACCCCTTCCCTTCCGTATTCAGGGACAAACAGCATAGTAACTGTAGCCCGCCTTGACTGGTGGCATGTCCCAGAGCAGATGTTTGTGGGCCCATTGTAGCTTCGAGCATCAGAGTAGAAAACTTGAGTCTCCTTTCACTAAGCTTCTGTGGTTACAGACTGCTCTCTAAAGGAAGTTTGCCATATATAGGATAGAGCCAGTGAATGAGGAGTGTACCTAGATGCCCATAAAAATATCCTGCAGGTTTCCCTCGGGAACTAGGAACTGGACTGTGTGTCACTAGGTTTCTGCTTTCATTCTGGTTCAGAGTTACATTCCTTGATCGCTGGGAAGTCTCCTCGCAACAGGAAGCTGAACCATAAGGTTTCCTTCCTGGGCCTTTCTCCAGGTGGGCCACATTAAGGTGTCTCTAGACGTAGATCTGTCAGAATGGAAACTTGGGAGGGAGCTGAAGTCCAAAAAAATGCAAACGGCACACTATGAATAACTGTGCCTGGGCTTCTTCCTTTACTTTTAAGGATATAAAGAGTTGTAGGGTTCAGATCTGCAGTTGCTATCTTTATGGCATCAGCAAAAGGAACTGTTTTCTCTCTTCCTTAAGCCAAGTTTTGATGTGTGTCCCCCCCCCCAAAGGGTCAAGCAAGAGTGAAGCAAGAGCGAAGCTGCTCAGTTGTCGATGCATCTGGCGGAGGAATCCCAATATGTTGCAAGCCGCCTAGAGACCTTCGGGTAGTGTGGGCGGCATATAAGTTAAATAAATAAATAAATACAGTAGGACCCCCATATCTGCAGGAGATTGTTTTCCAAGCCCTACCACCACCGGATGCTGAACACCGCAAATAGCAAACACTGTTCTAAGAGCAGATTGTATTTGTCTTCAGTGTGGAAGGGATGGTCACTCTCGAATTGGCCTTCTCGGCCACACTAGACGCTGTTCCAAGTCCTCCATACAGAGCCATTACCCTAGTCCCTCGGGACTGAAGGAATGCCTAAATCAATTCTAAGAGCCAACACTATACATACTGTACCATGATCTCTGCCTTCTTCTAGTGGCCAATTCTGATAATTGTAGAAATGTATTTTTTCCAGTGAATGCTATTCATAGCATAGCCTCTGGCTTCCTCTAGTGGCCAGTTCTGTGACCATTGTTGGAAATACACATTTTGGAGATTTTTCTTTTAATATTTTGAGATCATGGATAAGTGAATCAGTGGATACTGATCCTGCAGTTAAGGGGGCCCTACTGTACTTGCATAGTTCTGCAGCAAGCGATCCTTAACCCAAGGATGGCAGCGATAGACAGCCGTTTCACCTATTTCTGCCAGTGAAGGCACAGGGGACCGGCTAAAAAGTGGCGGGTGGCAGCCCAACTCTCAAGCCATTTGCACTAATTTCCTCCTGCTGCAATGTCTGGGAAATGTGCTGGAATTCTACGGTAGACAAGTGTCTGGGGATGGAGTAGGGTTTCTGGGAATCTTTGCATTAGATGGGTGCATTTGCGTGATGATTAAGGATCAAGCGCTGTCGACAGCTTAGTCCTACAGGTTTCCACAGCCCTTTCATTGTGCATAGTGTGAGGGGAGTCAGTTGAATGCGCCACGGTCGTATCATTTCAAGTGACTGCCTTGCAGGGAGTATCTTCACTAGAGGACTTTTGAACTGGTTTTAAGATTCCTTTCTCTTCCTACATCCCAGGTTTTGTCACCCAGAGAATGCATGGGCTAGGGCAGACAACTGAGAGTTGTAATGCAAAAAAAAAAGGAACTTTTTTTAGATTCAGCAAAGCCTGGTTTCATATCCAGTTCCTTCTTCCTAGGGGAAACTGAGCCTCACCCTCACTGAACTCAAAAGCTGGAGGACGTTTGGGGCAGGTGACAGCCATGGCAGTTTACATGGGTGTGAAACCCAATACAGCCATAGTGCAGGCGAGCCCTTGCTCTTAAGACGCAGGCGCTGGTGGGCTTGGGTACTTGCAATGGGACCAAGCTGGCATTGGGACCCTGGAGAAAGGCACAGTCTCCTGAACTGAGGGCTAACATGGCATTGTCAAGACCTTTCAGGGATGAGATAGCAGTGCCAACATTGTGTCATGCTAGTATAAATCAACCCTGTCTCCCCCTTGCGCCTTGTGTAGGTTCCATCTGATCCCACTCCGTCTGAAGCAATGGGCAGGAATCTGAGTTTCTCTCCGTTCCTGGTTTATCTCATCAACGCTCCGCCCCCACCCCCACTACCCCCCAAAATCATGTCTACATCCTTCCGTGCTGCCACCCTGGGCGAGGCAGACGCTGAACCTATTTCTTCCTCTGTGCTCATTTTTTACTTTGTCCACTATGTCTTCTGTCATTTTTATCCGTTCCAGTTTGTTTTTGGTGTGTGTGTGTGTAGGGGGCGGGGGACATGTCTTTTTGTTTTCTCTCGCTGAGCTGTGAATAATTTTTAACACTGTAAATACTGTCCAGCTCTTTAAAAAAAAAGTTATTTTATCAATTGTAAATCAAACCTGTAATCCAACCCCTGTATAAATAAGAATTATCCCTTGGGTGGTTTTCAAACTCAGGTTCCAAAGGACCAAATAATAATTAAAAAAAGTTTTGTTTTTTAATTGTTTGCTCAGCTTGATAATTTATTGCCACATCCAGCTGGAAAGAAGGGCGGGCAGCCTACAAGACCTCATACGCTCCCTGTGCTGGCCTACAGATATGACTACAATTCCATCCTCAGCCATGGCCCTCTGAGTGAAGGATAATGGGCACTGTAGTCCATCCTAGTCCAAAACATGTTGGGCGTGGGAATGATACTTTACATTTCCTGTCCATCTGCCCGCCCATCCCCCTGGGGACAGGACTTGCAAAACACTGTCCTCAACTATTTTCCACCATGTATTTTCATTCCTTGTTCAAAATCTGGCACAGAGTATAAACTGGATCCTTAATAACAGATGGAATCCTCCCGTTGCTATTTCCGTTAATGTAACTTTTCAGATTATATCTTTGTAATTCCGTTGAAATAAAGGGGAGCCTTTATTTCAATGGAATTACAAGGATACCAAGAAGTAGCTGCCACCCCGTACCGACAAGAGAAGACACAGGGACTCCCAACATCAGCGGAGCAGGACTTCAACCACAAGATAATATTATTTTGACTTTCCTCTGATCCCAGTTGGCTAAACCTAGTGAGTTTGCGAAATTATCACCCCAGTTCTAAGATGGACAACTTGGGCTTTCTGTGTGTCACTGGTGAAACAGGAACATGTCCATTTCAAAGAAAGGCCAAAGGGGTGGGGATGTGTGTGCACACAAGCATGGCCTGAAGAACTGGAGTGTGATACCCAATCCACAGCTGCTTCAGGTGTAAATTTAAAACAGCAGCCATCCTGCTTCCTGCACTTCTCCTTGCTGCTACAAGCCTGAAGAAGTAGTGTTCATTCACAAAAGCTTGCTTGATTGTAGGACAATTTTTAGAGGCCTGCAAAGGTCTCCTCTGTTCTTGCATTTGTATTTTTTTCCCCAGTTTTGTAGCAAGAGCCAACTTTACCAATTGGTGGGGTTGTTTATTTACTCATTAGTCACATTAATAGCATTATAGCTTGTCGTTTTTCCTGTGGAAATGTCTCTTCTCCCCACTTTAACTGCCTGATAACCTTGTGAAGTGGGTCAGGCTAAGAAAATGATTGGCTCATCCACGTCTGAGTATTCATTACCTAGGAAATCCTGGAAAAAGTCACCATAAGATGGAATTGACTTGACAACACATTATTTTTATAAGGTGACTTACATATGGACTATGTGATGGAAAGAGCCTGTGATTGTAACTTTAAAGTTTAAATATATCTGTGAAGATTCTCAGTCCTTCTGGTGTAGTTATCTCAAAGTTGAGTCATGGCAACTGGATTCCTTATCAGGTTGAAACATTTTACTACTCATCCAAGTACAGTGGACCCTCAACTTACAGACGGCTCCACTTACAGACTTTTCGAGTTACAGACTTCTCTGACCGCAAAATTTAGGTTTGACTTGCAGCCGGAGAATCGACCTACAGACCAGAAAAAAGCCAAGATGGAACAAACATGGAACAAAAACGGCCGATTACGGGATTAATTGGTTTCCAATGCATTGTAGGTCAATGGAGACTCAACCTATAGACTTTTCGACCTGCAGCGACCGTTCCAATACGGATTAATTCCATTAGTAGAGGGGTAATCCCACTTCTACAGTCTTTCTCCACCCATCCTCATCGGTCCTTAACAGTGGTCTTTCTAGTGTGTGGTTCTGACCTTTATGGGAGTGGAGGAAAGATCAGGACCATATACCGCAAAGACCACTGTTAATGACTGTTAATGACCCATGACAATGGGAGGAGAAGGACTACAGAGGTGGGATTTTCACTCTCCTCAACCCCCACTTGTCCATCTAACGAACCTATTCAGACCAGGGGGGAAGTGAAACCAACTTGGAGGATCTATCAGGGGTCTCCTACCAACTCTCCTCAGACTGAAGAAGCTACTTGGAGGAGTAGCAAAACGTTTCAGCCTCATAAGAAGTCCAGTTGCCATGAGTCAACTTCCAGATGTTTAAAGCGTAAATGAACTCAAAATATAGGTGTAGTAAGCACACCTAGCAGTAGTAGCTGATGGAAACAAAAGCAGGTTTACTAATCATCCACTGCCTAAAAGTGAAATCTTATAGGCCTGTCTGCTCAGACGTTGCACTGTTTTCGATGAGACTCACTCCGGAGTACAGCGCTATGCGTTGCATCGTATCTGCCTCCATCTGGTGGCCGGTTCTGGTAAACACACCCTGGAAATGCATATGCAGTAAATATTTATTTCGGAGGGGTATTTAGAATATTCACACAGCAGATGAGTGAATCAGCGGATATTGATTCTGCGGGGTCTTACTGTATTACTCTGGCTGGCCTTCCCCCTCCCTTCCCCCCACCCCTGTTTACCCAAAGTATCGTATCGGGGAGTGGAGAGTCAAAAAAAAAAAGTTTCAGATATAGGATTCTAATCTGACCCTTGCAGTGGGCTAGGAAACAGTTCACATCTTTCAAGCCAGAGGACACAGATCGGAATCCGGGAGGTTTGGAACAGAATAGCAGCAACCTCAGAAGAGAGTCCCTAAAGGCTGTAATTTCACTGTTCTTCTCTTTCTGTTGCCAGGTTTTTAATACCAAAATATTCCTATCCATCTGATCCAAGAGATGAATTATGCACAGACCTTACTCCCTCCAACAGTGCTCATGCCATTTTAAAAAGATATTATTGAGTAAAGTAAATCAAAAGTCATTTCAGATGAGGACAAAAAGCGCAAGAGCAAATACGGTGCGGAAACTTGCCATTCCAAAATGCAATATTTTCTGATCTGTGTTTAATCTGCGCCCTGTTTGCTCAGTATGAGATGTCAATTTAACTGGTGGGGTTTTTTTGGTGCAATGTCTGATGTCAACCTTGTGCCTGTTTTTTCCCCTTTGAAGTAGAGCAGTAGGTGGAGGGGAGAGCTTCTGCCTTCTAGACTTTTCTTGTACTGCAGAAATCCCAGCCAGTGTGGCCAGCGTTATGGGACTGTGGAGATTTTCCAAAACATCTGGAGGACCAAAGGTTCTCTTCCCCAGTGTAAAAGCTGACCTCGTTTAGTCTTCAAAGGAAGAGGGAGGGAATTAACAGTTCTGTGGCGCTACTTACCTGTGGCGGTTCAATTTCACCCAACCGAGGAACACTCACAAGTCTTGCAGAAATTACAGGGTGTCTTATTTCGGCACCCTTTAAAAAAAGGAATTCCATAATACGAAAACCACCCAGAGTGCCTCGTTGCCTGCTTGACCATTTGGAGTTGGTACCGAGACTAGTATGAGGAAGGATGTGCTCATTCTATGCCATGTGACTTCAACTCGAGTGAAATATTTTGTAAAGCAGGGAGTTGTCGTCCAAACATCTGGAGGGCCACATTTTGCTGCCCCCCTTGCTCTTCAAAGGTATCGCAAAACTCTTCCTTCTTTCTAAGCACTCCGGCTGCACTCCCATGGGCCATAAAAATCATTTCTCAATGGTCCTAGAATGCAGGACGCATACAAAGGTATCGCAAAACTCTTCCTTCTTTCCAAGCACTCCGGCTGCACTCCC